AGGCTCTCTTTTTCTTTCATAGCTGAGGGTGATCAAGCATTGGAGGAGATGACAGGCACTATGGAGGAGCTCTCTGTCAGTCAGAGTGAGACCACCAGCTCCTCAGATAACCAAAACCAAGATGTTACCTCAGAGACAGTCCCTCTTACTACAGACTGAATCACAATGAATCACACTATTTCAACCCAGCAACCATCATCGTCATTGAAGACCCATCTAAGACAAAAGAGAGCAGGTCCGTGACCTCACCCAGAGTTTCTGAAGGTTTCTTCATAACTCTCTTACAGGATGCTCTTCTGAAAGCACATAACGTAAGGGAAAACCACCAAAAGCTTAGCCACACAAATGCATAGGGGGAAGGGTCTACAAGTGACAAAATGTAGATTTTTTTGTTTGTTTGTTTTAAATAGTCTTTTTACATTTATGTTGGGAAAATATATGTATTTATGTATGTGAAAATCATGTAGGTTTTGCTTTAGGAAAGATATTCTAATATATTGCTGCAAGACATTGATGCTTATGCCTTAAATTTCTTAGCTTGTTGTTATGGAAAAGGAACAAATTAATAGATGGCAGCGGCAGCTTATGTGAGTCTTTATAAATCTGTAGAATTTATTTAAATGCAACAGGTATTTTTGGGGACATCTGATATTGAAATACAGTTATACGGTTTCACAAATCAAACGCATAGATTTTCCGTCCGTAAGTTACAAACTATTACATCACATGTTCTTTGATGAACATGTCGAATATTAGACTTCACTCACACTCCAAATATTTCAGAAAACAACTTGAAAACACACATTAGTCTTGACAAAGTTTATTGAGATTGAAACGACAATGTAAGAGCTGTTTTTCATTGATTTAAACCACTTGACCCTTGTCAAATGTTCCATCGTGTGAACAAGAGTGATGGCAGGGGTCTGGAAATCATCTAAGTTTGACAGTGAGTATGTTAGATGCAGGTTTGCTAGAGTCGTCTAGATGGCTCCACTGAGACATGCTTGTACCGTTCCAGTTCATAATGGAGAACTGTATGATGGATTTGGCCACTGATGGGTTTTCTCGTTCATCAGAATGACTGCTAAGGAAAACATCCAAAGTCAGCTCCCGTGAAACATTTGCTGTAGTTTAATCATTAGAAATATTTAAAAAATACTCTTGTGACACTGACTCTGTACACCTCTTTCTTGAGACATGCTGACCTGTAACAATAAAACAGTTCTTTAGATTAGAAACGTTTTACGAATCTTAAAATGCTGGAATTGATTTTCTAGTTAATAGTTCTGTTAGACTAGAGAGCCTTAGCTTACGTACTGGTTTTGTGATCGAGTTGGTCACTTTTCTTCCTGTAGGAGCGGTAGTGCTCGTCTTCCAAAGGCAATAGAATCAAGCACCCTCTTGTCTTTCTACGCTGAACAGCTTAAATGCCTGTCTCCTTTCCTCCTGCTTCACTTTTGACAATTATACAGTACCCCACTGTTTAAAAGTTTGGAATAATTCGGATTTTTAATGTTTTTAAAGAAGTCTTATGCTCACCAAGGCTGCATTTATTTACTTAAAAGTACAGTAAAAACAGTAATATTTTGAAATATTACAATTTAAAATAGCTGTTTTCTATTTTAATATATGGTAAAATGTACTTTATTCCTGTGATGACAAAGTTGGATTTTCAGCATCATTACTCCAGTCTCCAGTGTCAGATGATCCTGAAGAAGATGCTGATTTAAATCTTACCCCAAACATTTGAATGGTAGTGTATCATAGTTTACACAACAAAATAGTAAGCAGCACAACTGTTTCAACATAAGAAATTAGAGTCAGCCGCCATATCACCCTGTAGCCCAAGACTGGTTGCCCACTGAAGCTAAGCAGGGCTGAGCCTGGTCAGTATCTGGATGGGAGACCTCCTGGGAAAAACTAGGTTGCTGCTGGAAGAGGTGTTAGTGATGCCAGCAGGGGGTGCTCACCCTGTGGTCTGTGTGGGTCCTAATACCCCAGTATAGTGACGGGGACACTATACTGTCAACAAGCACTGTCCTTCGGATGAAATGTTAAACCGAGGTCCTGACTCTCTGTGGTCATTAAAAATCCCAGGATGTCTTTCGAAAAGAGTAGAGGTGTGACCTCGGCATCCTGGCCAAATTTGCCCATTGGCCTCTGACCATCATGGCCTCCTAATAATCCCCATATCTGTTAATTGGCTTCATCACTCTGTCTCCTCTCCACCAATAAGCTGGTGTGTGGTGGGCGTTCTGGCACACTATGGCTGCCGTCGCATCATCCAGTTGGATGCTGCACACTGGAGGTGGATGAGGAGATCCCCCCCTCACAATGTAAAGCGCTTTAAGTGCCTAGAAAAGCGCTATATAAATGCAACTAATTATTATTATTAATTATTAATTATTATTATTTATTACAAAAAAAAAACAGTAAAAATGTCAAAAATTAAGTAAAACTCTTGGCTCAACCAGTGTCCAGATGCATAATGGTGTAGTTTAGTAGTTTATCAATCACATAATTAGCCAATGTGGTATATCTTATTATTCATTTTTATGGCATTTTTGATATCTTTGATCACTTTTGGTGAATTCTAATATGGCATGTTTGTAATTTATGGATGCCGACCTTTTCTGTCTAAAAACCTCACGGATGGCAAATGGTGCAGCACTTATTGGCGATATTCTGGACCTTGAGTGAAAGGGGTTCAGATATAAAGCTGAAACAGAAGATGCATTTGATCTGAAATGACTTTTTTGCCAATACAAATGCTGCAAAGAATCTTGTTTTTGGTGTAAAAACCATTTGTAACAAATGGTCTAAAAAAATAGCTTTTAAAACCTTGATTCACTTTTTTTTTTTTTTTTAAATAAGGAATATAGTGGACTTGCGTGAGAGACGGTGGTCTCAGGTTCTCACAGAGAGTGTGGAGGTCCTGCGTGTTCTTCAGCTCTGACAGTTTCCTCCAGACTCTCCATCTGATTGTTGAATAGGAGCAGCACTCGCAGGCATGTCAGGTGTCTCAATGGCCCAGAATGCAGACAGGAAAAAAGGTTAGAACACATTAAGAAACCACAAAAATAAATAAATAAAAAGCTTAGAAACATCTTTATAGCACAAACTGACCTGAAATGGAGAGAATATCATTGTTGTGCAGATAAAGTTCTGTCAAGCAGCAGTTAAATGAAGCTCTGGAAACCTCTCGAATCTCTCTTTTAAGACTTAGAAATTCACTTTTTTTTTTATTTTTATGGAAAGTACATAGCTGCTTTGTAGACTTTTTACTCATATTAATGAATTGCTCAATAGTTTTAGTGGTAAACATAAAGCTTTAAAAACTAGTAATCACACATAAGATAAGAGAGAGTAAAATTCAAGTTTCAGCCAGGCTGTCTAGCCCTGTTATTGTTAAGCCACACATATCTCAGCATGGAGAACCTTGACAAATCAGGAACACAAGTCAATCCTCTAAAAATAGATGGAAAATTAAAGAGAAATATAAAAAAAATAAAATAAAACAGTTAATGAATTGTACAATTATTATTTTTATGCATTGCATATAATATTTACGTTCGAAATCTTATTAATTATAATACATTTTATATTTAGGTTTCAGGTCCACATCTTATTATCTAAAAACTTTTATGTATATATTTAATTTATTTCTATTTTTTCCTAAGCACCTTCTGGCGAGATGAAGGTGGGTCACATCCGTGTCTCGCTGAATCACACGCTTTGGCAAAGAATCTTCATTCTCCTGTGGGGAAAAAGAAAGAAGCTAAGTGATGCTAAACGACAAACGGAGGAAATGAACTGTACTAAAGTGTAGTCCGTAGATGTACTGTACATGTCTATAAGTCTACCTGTTTGTATATTTCCACGTCTGAACTAGAGCCCGCTGGTCTGAAACATAGACTGTATAAACAAGGCCAAGACGAGACTCGCATCGGTTGCTAGTTGCTTTTTTTGAGCGCGCGACCCTGACAGCTTAGGAAGTGTGTGTTTGTGTGTTTGTCTCGGTTGACATTTTCAAACTTTTTGATGCTTCTCTTTTCTCGTCCATGAGAGGGCCCACTTTTCCTTAAAATGTTGTTAAGCTTCCACCGCGGGAAACAAAAGTGTGGCATGTTTATAATATAACTGCGTTTGTCCTCATTTGGATAAAAGCGTCTGCTAAACGACTAAACGTAAATGTATTGTTTTCATTGATTGTGATCATTTGACGTATTTAAAAAATAATAATATATATTTTTTACATGGTATAATAGAGCATTATGCATATTCAGGTACTGGACATATCTTTCTTCACTTGTTATTTTACGTGGGAAAAGTATTTTATTATTATTACAAAGTTTCTAAGATGATAACTAATCTATCTATCATCTATCTGTCTGTCTGACATTTTGTCTATCATTCTTTAGCTACTATTAATTACAGATCACAGTTTTAAAAGTTTATCATGGAAAAATGCATGCTGTTTCACTTAACCGTTATGCAGTATACACTTCAGGAAGTATATAGCTAGTATGTATCAATCAAGCATCTTCGCCACTGTCGTTTTCACCTCATTTTCAGTAAGCAGATCGAATCAGCTTGCAACACAGATTGATTGTTGATTAATTGCAGCTTAAATGCACTTTTCGTAAGTCATTTTCATAATAAATACTTTGTGGGCAGATTATGCTTGCAACACCCTTTAAAAACAAAAATCAAGACATAGCTTGCTTACATCAAGTGCTGAGTGTTTAACAGCACAAAAACACTTCTAAATGAATTAGGGGCTCTCAGGGAGTCCAGCACGCATTCATTTGGCTCCAGATGTTTGGAGCACCTCACAGGGTCGAGTGTTTCTCTGGGTGTGGTTTAGCGGAGAGACTGACTGCGCTTGTTTTAGCATTCCGCTCACCTGAGCCTTTGCCAAAACTGGAGGCGGGAGCGTATATAAACTGTATATATAACCCAAGACATGATAGTGAATGAGAATCAGTCAGACTCCAGGAGCATCTCTCCACAGGCTGTGGGTTATTTCACATCAACATGCATATAAACGCACCCGAATCGTGCAATTTCATGTTTTTATGTTGCTTTTTAATAAGGAGTGGTCTGACTTTGAAGAATGATGCTACGGAGGTGTTCTACCCTCATGTGGTCAGTCCCGTGCAGGACGCTCAGAGCAACGCGTCTCTGAATCGCGCGCGCTCCGGTGGACGAGGCTTCACAGCGCACGAGCGAGGTGAGTTCACGCGACATTCGACTCAGTTTGATCAGGGATCGTTCATTTTGATAGATTGTTTTGATGTCTCGTTTACAATTAACATTAAAACAAAGTTTTAGTTACATTCAATTTTTTTATTGGTTGATTTGGAGAAACGTCGTTTGAATATCTGATTCTTAAATGAATTTAAAATGAAACTAAACTCACTTTAAACAAACATCAGATTAAATAAATGCTTTAAACTTGAACAAATATATCATATAACCAATATATCACAAAGAGTGTTCACATTTCAGGGATTTCTTCATTACTGTGTCTTTGATCATGTGAACTAAATGTTTTTATATTTATTTGCTCGTTCATTTATAGAATAGAAAGTAAACAAAAAGCTGATATTTTACAGGTGTTTTTATCCATAGTGTTTATGGTCGAGGAGACCGGGGCTAGTTGTCACACATTTTACTCTGGTGAATATTTCTGTCAGGGTTTTATCTCTGAATGTCAATTTCTCTGTAGACGTATGCAATTTTTTTATTGGTTGATTTGGAGAAACGTCGTTTGAATATCTGATTCTTAAATGAATTTAAAATGAAACTAAACTCACTTTAAACAAACATCAGATTAAATAAATGCTTTAAACTTGAACAAATATATCATATAACCAATATATCACAAAGAGTGTTCACATTTCAGGGATTTCTTCATTACTGTGTCTTTGATCATGTGAACTAAATGTTTTTATATTTATTTGCTCGTTCATTTATAGAATAGAAAGTAAACAAAAAGCTGATATTTTACAGGTGTTTTTATCCATAGTGTTTATGGTCGAGGAGACCGGGGCTAGTTGTCACACTTTTTACTCTGGTGAATATTTCTGTCAGGGTTTTATCTCTGAATGTCAATTTCTCTATAGACGTATGCCCAGTGTTGTACGTAATCAGATTACTTTTTTCCAAGTAACTAGTAACGTAACGCATTACTTTTTAATTTACAAGAAAATATCCGAGTTACTTTTTCAAATAAGTAACGCCAGTTACTTTTTTTCCCCATTTATTGATTGAAAGCTCTCCTGTCCCCTTGTTGCGAGAAATCGGGAGTAAGATGTTACTTTACTTCTAGAATAAATGTGAACATGCATTAATTCATCTCACTCACAAAAAAATTTGATTTAGTTTTCCTCAGAATGAATAAAAACAGTTAAAAGCAACTCAGAATATGACTCAAAGCTGCAATAATTAAATATGTTAAATAATACAAATATCCTTTATGTAT